AGAAAATTAACTCTATCCCAGCCAAAACCAGGACAATCTTTTATATGCAAATTATTCTATTCTGTTAATTAGCATAAACCCAGAATTACTGATGGAAAAAGTCATGTTGCATAAATAATGAACCTGCTCAGAAATTGTAACTTCTAGAATTAGAACTGCAGATTTTGAGACTAAAATTCTGCTTTGCACTGGAAGAATTTGAGTCCTAAACTATCACAATTTTATTTTAATTTGTTCACCTTGTTAAAGAGGTAACTTCAAGCAGACTTTCACTTCTTGCTGATACATAGCAAGAAGTTTCGTTTGTTAAATAGCAAAGCTTCTGTAGGTCTCGGTGGTATAAGTGAGCAGGGTAATATTATCAGAAATTGAAACAACTGTAAAAAAAAAAAACCCAGTCCCTACTAAAAATACTGAAGGAAACGTCATTTGCATATAATAACATAATGCAGGGACACATTTCAATATTGAGAACAAACTTCTAATTCTGCAGGAAGATTCTGCTGAAACAATAACATCTGACAGAAAAGGTCAGACAGTTAATAATAAGAAGAGAGTTAATAATAATAAGAGAGTTAATAAGCCCTCACGATGGAAATAATAAATAATACACAGTTTTATACCTTATTATGCAGTTTTGTAGTGTCATAATCAATCCTCCTACATGAGAAAGTCATAAGCCATCAATCTGGCATCAAAATGACAGATTGTGATTTATTTTGAGAATATTCAGATGTCAGCTACATAAGTGTTCTGGGAACTGTAGTATAAAACATCCCTCAGCTAAAGTATTAATGCTGCGGTGAAAGTAATGGAAGTCACTCTGAAAAGGTAACTGCCATAAAGAGGAAGAGGATTTGCACAACAATCTTTAATCACTGCAGTTACTACTAATATACTTGCATTCTAAAAGGCTTCACACAAAAAACTGGACTGAAACATGTAACTGTATCAATAAGCATTCCCACAAGTTCACTCTCTCTCCTCAACTATTATGACATGAGAATGACAAACAGGAGATACATCTGCTGCCTGCCTCTCTCAGTGTACCACTCCTGTGGTTAGTCTAACCCCACAAGGTATTCATCACTAAGAGAATCTATCTCTATGCAAAGACTTCACCCCCTGCCTCTGCTAAAATACTCATTTTAATTGGAGAGAAATATTGGCAATGCAAATAGAGGGTAACAAATACAAGCAGTAAGAAAAGAATAGTTGCATTGATGTCATCTACATTGTACTAGACATAGACGAGGTCATAGATTTTTTTTTTTTTCCTCTCCAGGTCAGACATCTTAGAATCAATTCATCTTACTGGGGCAGTTTTTAACAGCTGAACTATTTGAAAGCCTTAATTAAGTTGCTGTACTTGATATCTCAAGTAACATAATATCAAGGTCAGCTAGTAGAGAATGAAATTTACCCAAGGACAAGATGTTAGATAAAGCAGAAAGTTATCACTCACAAAGAAATACTTGGGCAGCAGAGCATGGAATTTGATGCAAACGAAAAGACTATATGAACTTTAAATGAACTACGCTCATTTGCATGGTAAAAACACACCTCTTTGCCAAAATATTCCCGCCTCCACGTGAAGACCCTTACCCACTGGGCCTGTGCAGTGAAATTATGGAACACTTTATCTTTAAATCAAGGCAAAGGGACTAAGAACCAACGATGGTATAATAAGCTAATATAAAGGAGTGATATATAGCAACGTAAGTATAAATATGTTAAAATATTACTATAAGGGTGTGCTAGCTTTGTGGAATTACCACCTAGCACCCATCTCTGTGCAGAAATGAAATAAAATCAATACCTTGTCTCAGTGTGTGAATTGGATTATTGCACACCAAGTAACGAACTCCCTCTGTGAGACAACAGTTTTGGCGACCCAGATGGGACCCTAATTGCCTTGCCTGGTTTGACTTGCCTCTCTGGCCAAGGAGCAGGGGAGCTGTGAGGATTCCAGCGTGCACTGACCATTTGATCGGGGGCGCCGATGGTTGTGGATCTACAGCTGGGAGGTGAGCGACATAATGGTGCAACACTGCAGAGATACGATGTAACAAGAGCAGGGGTGATCAGTGAGTAGGAAATTTGTTTCTGCTTCTGGAATTGCTCTGCATAAGTTGGTCCCGTGCGAGGACTGCAGCAGGAGCTTAAGCCTCCACATGTGGAAGCAGAGGAAAGAAAAAGGGTAAAATATTCTTGTCCTAAAGCTGCGAGTGTGAGGTTCTGGTTAAAGGATTTTCTGTCACAGTTTTCTGTAATTTAAATACGGGTTCAGTATCCTCTACTGATACACACCTTTGCTCTACTTTAGGATGCATCCTGAAAATTTGGAAAAATTTGGAGGGGATCCCCTAACTAAAGGAAGAATGCAAAAGTATTGTAAACAGTGGTAGCCAATGTATAAATTAGAGGACGGTGAAAAATGGCCTGAAAATGGAACTTTGAGTTATAATACTATCTTACAATTAATGTTGTTCTGTAGAAGAATGGATAAAGGGGATGAAGTACTATGTGTTGATCTATTTTTTGCTTTTCAAAGTGATTTTGAAACCAGAAGGAAATGTAAACTGGTAGATAATAACCCTAATGGTATATATGTGTTAGCTGAGGAAAAGGACAAGCAGAAAAGGAGGTGCTGTTCTGCCTGTAATACTGGGAAAAGGTGTCTCAAAGGGTCAGAGGAACTGGAAGATGTGCAGGATTTAAAGGACACCTTTTTCTGTATACCGCTTGAGGAAGAAAGCCAGAAGGTGTTTGCCTTTGAGTGGGAAAGCCCAGCTGCTGGCAGGAAAGTGCAACTTTGTTGGACTGTGCTTCCTCAAGGCTTTAAGAACAGCCCAACCCTTTTTGGTAATGTACTTGCAAAGGAATTAGAAGATTGGCAAGGTAAGAATTCTTCTACTACTTTACTGCAACATGTGGATGACATCTTATTAGGAGCTGAGACTAGAGAAGAATGAGGGCTACTCTGAGCCTGCTTAACTTCTTGGGACTGGCTGGATACCGGCTATCTCAAAAAAAGCCTGAGTAGTGCGAACCACTGTAACCTACCTAGGTTTTGAAATATCCTGAGGGGAGAGGAAGTTGGGAGCGGAACGGAAAGAGGCTATTTGTCAAACAGCTCCCCCCGATCTAAGAAAGAACTGCAAGGATTTTGGGGGATGGCTGGATGGCGCTGACTCTGGATACCAAATTTTAAGTCTGATTGCCAAGCTGTTATATGAAGCTATCAAGGGACCCAGAGAAATTTTAGAATGGACACCAGAGTGCCAAAAAGGATTTGACTCCATCAAAACTCAATTGATGAGGGTTCCTGCTTTGCGTTTGCCAGATTTAACCAAACCTTTTACCTTATTATGTGCATGAAAGGCAACATGTGGCACTAGGAGTCCTGACCCAGACTTTAGGGGACGGAGAGACCAGTGGCTTACTTCTCCAAACAGCTAGATGAAGTAAGCAAAGGATGGCTTGCATGCCTGAGGGCTGTGGCAGCAGTGGTGTTGCTGATTAATCAAGCTTGGAAATTAACCTTGGGGCAACTTATCACAGTTTTGGTACCACATGCTGCGATAGCTGTACTTGAACGAAAAGGACATCATTGGATTTCCCCCAGTAGGTTAGCTCAATATCAAGTGGTATTGATCAGATAAGGTGGTGTCACTTTAAAGATGTCTTCGACCTTGAATCCTGCCACCTTAATGCCAATAGAAGAAAAAGGGGAACTGGAGCATGACTGCCTGCAGGTTATGGAACAGGTATACTCCAGTCGACCCAATTTAAGGGATCTGCCTATAATCAAGCCAGAAATTGAACTTATTACAGAGGGAAGTAGTTTTGTGGTGAACAGAGAACAGAAAGCTGGATATGCTGTAGTAACCCTGCAGGAAGAGATTGAAGCACAAGCCCTGCCACCCAATACCGCTGCTCAGAAAGCAGACATTATAGCTCTAACTCAAGCTTTAGAGCTATCTAAAGATAAAAGAGTAAATATTTACACAGACTCCAAATATGCGTTTGGAGTGGTCCATGCACATGGGGCTATTTGGAAAGCATGTGGGTTGCTACCTTCTCAAGGAACCCCTATTAAATATGGCCTGGAAATTTAAAAATTGTTGCAAATTGTTCTGGGACCAAGAGAAGTTGCAATTGTATATTGCAAAGCTCATCAGAAAGGACAAACAGAAATAAATAAAGGAAATCGAAAAGCAGATGAAATAGCCAAAAAAGCTGAGGAAAGAAGAGGGATCAGTTTGCCAAATATTTAGAGTGTACCAAGTCAAAGGAAGGATGGTGGATAACCAAAGATGCGCAAGTATTGATTACTACCCCAATGGTAAGAGAAATATTGAAGAAGACCCATAGTGAATCCCATATGGGAGCAGATGCTCTGGTCGCAAGTATCAAAAGACATCATGTAGGACCAAAGACGCAAACTTTTGCAAACTTTATCGTGAAACAGTGCCCAATATGTTGTAAGAATAATCAAAAAATACAGAAATTACCTCCTCCGGGAGAAGTCAGGAAGGGTCAAACCCCTGGGGAATACTGGCAAATTGATTTTTCTGAACTGCCAAAATGCAATCAGTATAGATATCTGTTGGTGTTATTAGACACCTTTTCAGGATGGCCTGAAGCTTTCCCGTGTCGTACCAATAAGGCTAAAGAAGTAGTAAGGATATTGTTAAAGGAGATAATTCCTAGATTTGGGGTACCTGAAGGAATGCCCTCCGACAATGGGCCACATTTTATAGCTCAAATAGTTCAGGAAGTTGCAAAGTTGTTACAAATGACATGGGAACTACATGCTCCTTGGAGACCACAATCAAGTTGCAATGTCAAACGAATGAATCAGACTCTGAAAAGACAGATTTCAAAACTTTGTCCGGAAACTCAAATGAAATGGATAAATGTGTTACCAATAGCATTGATGAGAATTCAAGTCACTCCTAGACTTAGAGAAGGAGTTAGTCCTTCTGAGATTCTGTATGGGAAACCATACATATCCCATAAACAGTTTAACTAGGGAAGGTCAGCTAGTAGAGGATGAAATTTACCCAAGGACAAGATGTTAGATAAAGCAGAAATTTATCACTCACAAAGAAATACTTGGGCAGCAGAGCATGGAATTTGATGCAAACGAAAAGACTATATGAACTTTAAATGAACTACGCTCATCTGCATAGAAAAAACACACCTCTTTGCCAAAATATTCCTGCCTCCACGTGAAGACCCTTACCCACTGGGCCTGTGCAGTGAAATTATGGAACACTGTATCTTTACATCAAGGCAAAGGGACTACGAACCAATGATGGTATAATAAGCTAATATAAAGGAGTGATATATAGCAACATAAGTATAAATATGTTAAAATATTACTATAAGGGTGCACTAGCTTTGTGGAATTACCACCTAGCACCCATCTCTGCACAGAAACGAAATAAAATCAGAATATTGACTCAGTGTGTGAACTGGATTATTGCACACCGGGTAATGAACGCCCTTTGTGAGACAACATACTTATATTGAAGTATTTTTCTATTCTGGCCACCCACATATGGCTTTATATGCTACAGATTTTCAAAATGTCAGGAAGTACCTGCTTGTCGGTGTGTGTTCCTGCCCCTCTCCCTGCCGCGTTAAGCCATAACCACCAGTGGGGGTTGTGATGGCTGCATCCAGCTTATGCTGGACTTGGGGGACGGATGGCAACACAGTAGCCAAGGGCTGTCTGGAGCAGTGACCCAAAGGTCTTGCTGGCACGCAAATATGGCTGTAAGTCAACGGCTATAAGTCACCTTACTCCTTCAAGAGTGAGCAGCCCAAGAGCCCTTTGATTTCTCCAGCACGGCAGCGGGCTACACGCCAGGATCTTCCCTTGAGTAGGGATGCCTCTCAAGGTTATTCCTCGAAGTTCAGAGATTCCTTGCTGCAACAGATCCTTGATAAGTGACTAATAGCATGCTAAACTTTGAAATCTTAGCTAAGTGATATAAAGGATTTATTGCACAAATACAATCCTTTAGACATAAACCGTTGACCAAGCCTGGGACTAGGATTGGATCCAGCTGCACCTAGATTCCTCTCTGAGAAGCAGTTTAGAAAGCAAGGGGGTCCTTTCTGAACCTCATGACTCAACAGGAGGATCTCCCTGACAGTTTTGTCTGACCCTGTCCTCTATGCAGTAAATAATCAAGTGTACTTTGTCATCGAATCTTGGTAAACCAGTCTCATTTACCATTTGTTAACTCACTGTTTTATACTAATATATTTTTTTTTGCTTCTCCCTTAACGAGTGAAGTGTACTCTCACTCAATCCGCAACACAGCTTGACAATGGCTTTCTTTTTTTGGATGTGTGAGGGAGCAATTATTTTAGTTATTTTATTGTAAAGCACCTTGCAAAAACAAAAAGGCAGGGTTGAAAAATGTTAAATGAAACTCTGCAATATAAACTTCTGTCTTGCCATTTCAGAAAATGGTAAATTTTAAAAAGTGGCAACCAACAACAACAACTACTCTTTACAAAACTACCCATTTGAAAGATTTACAGTAACTCAGCGTTCTATGTGAAGTCACCAGAACATCTTGAAGGCGTCAGCATCAGAAGCACTCCAACACAGGAAGAGTGAGCCTACACCAGAGCCTGGGCACTTGATACAGTGATTGGCTCTAAGCACTGCAGTTATCGGAGCACTGACCCAGTCGCTTTCCATAAACATGCATTACTACCTTCTTAGGAGTTTACTTCAGATCAGCTTTTATAAAATCATTTCCAGTCATCTCCAGTTTCACCATTCCTCTCAAAGGGATCCTTTCCTCCCATGGGCCCCAGAACAGAGAAGGATCCCAGGCAAGGGGCAAAATGAGACACTGCCTGTATTCAGTGTGTGAGATAACAGGACATCCACTATTCTCCTAATGGTAAACATTACTAAACAAAGCTACTTACAGAAATAAAGGCTTCAAAAAAGTGGAAATGCTGTATTATTAGTCTAAAATAAGAAGGCAGTTCCTCTTCCCCTCTTGGGTTTTTGCCAGGTGGGGAAAAGCCTACAAAGGACACTGAGGAAGATACACTATGCATTCACATACTGAAGAGACACAAAGACTGCATAAGCGACTCACATTACATTATTACCCCCTTTATAGCAGTCATTTTGATTGACAGATGATTATATTTCAATTGAGTCATCCCCCTATCTCCAATGCTATCTTTTGTTCTCCCAAAACTGCAAATACACCTTTTCCCTGTTGTTCAAAGACAGGCTGCTTTGTGCTGCAGTTTTATCTTTATTCCCATGTGCTACAAAGCCTGACAATGGGGTTCTGAGACACTAATATTAACATTTCATGTAGTGCAGATAATTACAAGTTTGCGTGAGTCTGCATTGTCCGTTTCTATCCATTTATTCAAATACATACCAAAACCAGTACGGTGCACTAAAGAAATCCAACTGAGTCTACAACGAGAATGTTGTTCTACCTTCCCTAAAAGAAACATCTACTGCTGTGAACAATTCCAAGCCTTTAAATGCCATCAGCATGTAAGAAAATGGAAAATTACATGTCGATGTACACCACAGACTCAAGTGCATTTTCCAGCTGCTAAAATAAATTACTCTCCCATGCATGACAGAGAACATTTGAAACAAACCATGTCATACAAATGCCAGATTAAAACCATCTCCATTGAGTGTAGTATACAGCACGCAACAAGTCCCTAACATTAAAACATCAAATGTCCCATTTTTGGGGAAGCATTGCAACCAAAGAATTGCCATAATTCAATAATAATAACAATAATAATGTTTATAAGCTCTTCAGCAACCACAGCATTTTCCACAGCACCATAATGAATTATCCCCAGTTTCCATGTTATTAGAAGTTTGCTGTTATAATGTACATCTTGTTTCTTGTCTCAGAAAAGTACGTATTTCTTGCTACCTGCTAGAATCATCAGCTGTCACTGTCGCATTACATACTACTTAAGGTCAATCTACTTACTGCAAACAACATCTACTTGCCAAATTATTGGGCTTCAACACAAACTGAACTATTCTTGTCCATCAGGTATAAGAAATATGGTACAGTTGTCTCTCATTTAACCTCATCTCATATGTAATAGACTGGGTCTTGGCTACCTTCAGGTGCTGCACATCAGTTCTAGAAGCAGTGTAGCCTGTAGATTTGATCTAGGAAGGAGGACTGTCTAATGACCAAGAACACTTAACAGCTTTTCAGCCTTGGGGCTGCTTTTTAAAAAAAAAAAAAAAAAAATCAAATAATTTAACATTTTGTTATGTGTTGTCCAGAAGAATTCAGAAAAATACCCAAGCTAACACTATGCTTCCAGTTCTGTATCAACACAGTCCTGTATGAACACATTAACCCTGTGTTGCCATAGCTATGCTATTCTTTGAACCTGCACATGGATCTACAAATGTCTTTGAACAGTGGAGTTTCATTATCTATCTCAGAGTCATCTTGTGCATCCTGAAAGCAGTAGTGCATCACACAGTGCTAACACATCTTAAATCAGGTGTCTTTCTCTGCTGCACTGTTACAACACAGAAATGGCGAATAAAGAATACACCTATGAGAAAGATGTAGAACAGAGTTATTCATATTAAACATCTAAATACTACTTTCCCAATATTTTTACATTTTTGCACAAGCAGGAAACTGAACAACTGCATCAGTAAAAGCACTTACCTTGGACTCTGGCATTCCTTAGAATACTGTTCCATCTTGCAAAGACCTTTCTGAGGTATTTTGGTTTCTTTACTGCCAGTTAAATAAATGCAGTCAAGTCAAAGCTTGGCACTTCAGAAGCTTCTAGCCATTACTTCATCATATGTAATAAGAAATGGTGGTAGATTTTTCTAAGATGCTGCCATTTGTACTAGCAGCCTTCTGACTCTCAATAGGTAACAGAAATTCCAGGTCAACATTTAGGTATAAAAGAAACAGTGCCATCACCTCCACACAACATGACTCTTCAACAGGGGTGGTATAGCATCTCAGTAAGGTGCAACAGGGTTTTAGAAATTAACTGGGAAAAATGCAAAACAGAACAAAAATTTAACAGCCACTTTCACACGGGATCATACATCTGTTTTAACAGCATCGGCAGTAGTGTGATTTATGACTTAGTTATGTTCTTCACACTTAACAAAAGATAAACAGTCCAAAGACTCCTCAAATACACACTGTCACTTCTCCTGTCCATGTGAGAGCTTAGGATTTGTGGGGGAATGCTGCTTGTCTGGTGCATGCTAGCTGGTGACCCATTTCCTGATTTAGCTCCAAATAAATTTTTACCACCCAGGAATGAGCAATTCAGCATAAACCACCAGCTCAGTATAACAGGTCTTAAATAATGTATTTCAGACACTTTTTAATTTTCCTGTGATTTGTAAGTCTTCAAGATTCATACTCTCCTGCCTGCTTTCACCACCATGCAGTCAGACACCTGGGCAGGGAGGGGTGGGGGAACAGTAAGGAATCACATTGCTAAAGGTTGCACTGCCAAAGGCATAATACAAATTATCAGATCTTCCAAATGCTACAAAATAAATAATACTTGGGATTACTCCCTAAAAACTTTGCTTTTTGAAGTTTTTAGGTAAAACAGAACTTTTTCTCAATCTATCCAACTTCACACTGTGCGGAAAACTGAGCAGTTCTAAGGGAGCACTAGACAAAAACATTGTTATGATATCAAAGACAAATATCTAAGTAGTTTGCAGAGCATGGGCAGTGAAGAGTTTTAAAATCTATACAAGCTGTTGATTCTTGGTTCATCGATCAAAGATCTGCTGGCATAAGAAACATTTCAAAGTAATCGCTTGCTTCAGCTGAGGTGAACAATTGTTTTAACCATACAAATTAACGAAGAGGAAGTGAAATACTACCCATTTTTTATGCAAACCTTAGCAGCAAAGTCCAACTCTGACCCCACTTGCACATTTTGCAGTGGAATCATCTTCCACCCAAGGAAAGTGACTTCACATATGCTACAGAA